TGGTGAGGAAATGGGGCGACAATTCCTGATGGTACAAGGAGTTTCTAAAATAACATCTATTGGTCTCGACAAATAAGCCCCACGGATCAGCCCCGGGAAGAGGAACTAGCAGGCTTCCATGTTTCCCTGGAGAGAAATGCTGACAGCTCTCCTTACACGGGCTATAGTGGTGGCATTAATCACTTAGGCCAAAAGCAAGGCTCAGCTTTCGCTAACAAGGGGGAAAAAGTACAACACTGAAATATATGCTGGCAGAACTGTCTCAGAAGAGGCAAGACACTGGGAGGCAATCCAAAAGGTTACAAAATCCTAAAACATTTGAAACTTGGTTCCCCTGAGCTGAGAGCTCACCTACTGAGTAAGCTCAAAGAAAGGAGACACCTTGGCCTCTTCAGGCAAGGAGGAGGTGTGGAAGGCTGTGGCTAGGCTAAAAATTACGCTTCCAGCTGGGAAGCTGGGCCAACTGGACCGACTCGCATGACTTTACTCATCTAATAGCAAAAGCAGGATCCTTCCACATTTATGACTTACACCGATCCAACTCATTCATACTGCCCAGGCTGCTTCAGCGAGGTCTTCTCCACAGCGACTAACAGTGTCCGGCACCAGACTGCATCATTTTTCTCTACTACCACCTTTCAATTTTTTTAAAATGTGACTGAGAACCTACAGTCACAATTTTAAGCAGGAAGGAAGATTCACAAAAATTACAGGTAAATGAAAAGACTCACATAGTTGGTGATGCTTTATTTTTTCTCTGAGCAAATATGGAAAAACAGTATTTGATATCTCATTTGAATATTGAGTAGTATAATTTTCTACAAAGCAAAATCCTACCATTTTTCCAAGATACACAGATATCTCCTACAATGAGTCACAACTTAATTCCCAAGCTGAAAAAGGTTATCCTAATTTTGGAAATTTCTCAAATATTTTTCTAAAATGACACTATCCTGTCTGGGGGAAGAAAAGGAAATACGTAACGAATCTGACTTTACAGAATCTAGACGTCTCTCAGAACATCTGGGGACAGGTGTGTCAAGAGGGTAAATCCATCAGAAACACTAAGGCACACTGCTGAGCAAGCTGTGCCCCTGCAAACACCACTTCAGACCTAAGGTCAGTCCAACCGCATCCTAGCAGGAGCAGAGGCCGGCAGGACACTCCACTGGCCGAGCACCAGTGGGGAGGCTGCACAATCACCCAGGTCCTGGCCCCTGGAGAAAGCCCAAAGCTATGGTAAGTCTGCAGCAGCTCTGGAAGCAGGCTCAAAGACTAAAGCCTAAAGCAGAACATCCAGAGCCACCACGGTTTCCCAGCCCTCTCACAAACGCCAGAGCAGACAACACGCTGGAGGCCGAGAGGCGAGCCTACAACCCAGCTACACTCCCTCACACTGTGCTGCTGCAACGCAGACCAGAGGGTGCCCACACCAGACAGCTGACAGGGGCAGGCAGCATCTTGACTGGCTGGACAAATCCCTTCCCTTCCCTTTCTGGGAATAATTTCAAAAATCTAAGAGATGAGGGAGACAGCAAGATTTTTTTATGAAATGAAGACTGACAGAATACGACATATCAGCTAAAAACAATTTTCTGGTCTTCTTAATGTTTGTTATCCATTTGAAAACAACAGGTCACACCGGAGGGAAGAGCACCTCCTGCTGGCTGAAGGAGGAGGAACAAGATGGAATCTGCAGGCAGGAATACTGGATCAGCTTTAAGCAAACAGTCCTGGGAGCAGAGCTATCAATGAAGAATTTGCTATTTCTCAATAAACATTTAGTAAAGATAAAATGTATGTTTATCTTTCTAAAACACCTAACAGGTTCTAGATTCAACAACAGGTCTAACATAATTTTTATATTATTTCAAGTTTGGTGCCTTTAACACTAATGTCAAGAGATACTGCTTTCAAAACTCATAAAAGAAAATAAAAATGGAGGGGCCCGGCGGCATGGCCTAGAGGCTAAAGTCCTCACCTTGAACACACCGGGATCCCATACGGGCACCGGTTCTAATTCCAGCAGCTCCACTTCCCTTCCAGCTCCCTGCTTGTGGCCTGGGAAGGCAGTCACAGTCAAGGACGGCCCAAAGCTTTGGGACCCTGCACCCATGTGGGAGACTTGGAGGAAGTTCGTGGCTTCTGGCTTCGGATCAGCATAGCATCGGCTATTGTGCTCACTTGGGGAGTGAATCATTGGACGGAAGATCTTTCTCTCTGTCTCTCCTCTCTGTATATCTGACTTTCCAATAAATAAATAAATCTTAAAAAAAATTAAAAAAAAAAAAAGAAAATGGAGACCCACGTTACGCTGTGCACCAGTTGCTCACCTGAGCCGTGAGGATGACAAGGCATTGCTTTACTTCCTGTGGAACCTGGCCGACCCTCCCACAGCACAGCCAACACTGCCGGAGTCCTGCTGTGCAATCTTAACTGTATTTCATGCTTCATGTAGCATATAAATATTTATCAGTGACAGTATGAACCTAACTTCTCAGGAATCCAAGTTATACAAATAGTGGTGTCTTAAATGTAGTAAGACTGTCCTCTGGTGTCTGCTTAGCCATACAACCTGGGAAACAAAACATTTCATTCTAAATACTATTCAAATTAGTTTAAATTGAAAGGTATCTTAAATCAATACAAAAGAAATCATTATTTTGTGCTAAAAAATCTTGAAATGCTTGTAAAACGCTGGTCTAGGAACCACCAGGCACTCAGAGTGCAGCAAAGGGCAGGGCTGAAGACGGTCCTTCCAACTCCTCACTTCCCAGAACACACACGGAAAGCCATTCCTGCCCTGTTTAGGTGCCCTGCCTGCCCACGTCACAGGACTGCCACACATGCACAGCATCACAGGTGTTCCAACGAGCCTGAGCAAAGACCTTCAGGTACACTACCATCTCACCACGGGTCGGCCACTAGGCGGTGTCATCCATGCGCTAAACAGCCAAGAAGGAATTGGCCCAGAGGGAAGACACTCCCTGGGCTGTGTCCTCTCTTCATGCCGACAGTCCCACTGAATGGGATGGCATCTAAAAACCATGTGCACAGAAGTGGATGGACGACAACCCCCCGCCCAATCCTGCTGATCAAAAACAGCCAAAGAGCAGTCTAGATTTCAACGCAGATGTGACAATCCTTAATCTGTATCAGCTATGTTACAACAGGTAGCTTCCTCCCACATATTCATTTTCTTTATGCAGCCACACATGAAGATTTATATCCAGTACTGCTTCACTAGGTTGGACTCTGGACTTGTGAGAAGGTAACTCGAACGGCCAGGCTTTACTGAGCTTCCAAGGAAAGCAGAGCACTGGGTGGAGACGCTGCCAGTATGCATGAGACCTTCTAAATCTTAAAGGAATAAAGACAGACCTGAAACATCTTACTGCCAATGTAAGATTCCTAAACTGTTCATTCCTGCTGATTATAATTTGTAATTAATACAATCTGTAACATAATCACTCTTAGTCTAAAATGTGAATTTAGTTATAGGATATAAATTATCACTACCTCATGCACTCTTGCAAAGAATATCCTTTTTACGACATAATCATTATGATCATTATATTATTCTACTATATACTGGAAGAAATTCTTCCTTAACTAAACTTAGGCTCGTTTTGGCACCCATGGGTTCCTAAGTATTAAGTACATACTCAGAGCCCGGCGTGGTGGCTTAGCGGCTAAAGTCCTCATCTTGAATGTGCTGGGATCCCATATGGGCATCAGTTCTAATCCCAGCAGCCCTGCTTCCCATCCAGCTCCCTGCTTGTGGCCTGGAAAAGCAGTCAAGGACGGCCCAAAGCCTTGGGACCCTGCACCTGAGTGGGAGACCTGGAAAAGTTCCTGGATCCTGGCTTCAAATCGGCTCAGCTCCTGCTGTTGTGGCCACTTGGGGAGTGAATCATTGGATGGAAGATCTTCCTCTCTGTCTCTCCTCCTCTCAGTATATCTAAATTTGCAATAAAAATAAATAAATCTTTGAGAAAAATGATTTAAAAAAATTAAGTACATACTCATTCACTATTTTAGAAGAAAGTATCTCATGACTTTGTCTTTAGAAAATACAGATCAAAGATTTTCTAACTCAATTTCAATGACTAAATGATCTTACTAATTACATTTCATGGAATATTCACTATAGTGAAAATAAATTTTGTGAATTATTGTTCTTCTTAAGCAAGTTTTAACTTTTTCAGAATTAAATGTATTTAGAAGGGCTTTGTTGCACTTAGAAATGTCTTTGGAACATTTATAACTAGTTAACGTTGTGACAGGTAACAGTGCACAGAGAAACACTGCTGTGCCCTTGAAATCCCCCTGGCATTTTCACCTTGCTCATCCTAGCCTAGCAGAGCAAGCAAGGAACTACTTTGTGTCACGATGGACCAAGAAAGAGGTCCTGTGCTGAGTCACTTTCCATACCCCACCCCAACCTGGTGTTTGTGATAAAAAACTTTGCAACATCCCCTTTCTGCTGATGGGGAACCAGATGTGGACTCCCCAGTACTGGCCAGGCTGTCTGAGCCTGGTGCTGTCCCCCATCAGAGGGTTAGAAAGGTTCCACAGCCCCTGAGCCGGTGAGTCTCAAAAGGAGCAGGACAGGAGGCCCTGCAGTCAGGGTGCTGGGAGTGACGCTGGCACTACCACAGCACACCTCAGCTTACAGCCCCGCCCACTTGCAGATGACTGCTGGGGGGCCCAAGGATTCTGAGATAAGTCTGTGAGCCCCAACCCTGGCTGCTCTGTGACAGCTTGCTGCACTGTTGTCATGCTGAAGCAAAGCTCCCGCTCTAAACCATTCTAGAAAAAAAAAGAACCCATAAAAAATGTTATATAAATATATAACATTCATTGAAAAGAGAAACAGAACGTCTGTACTGTGGGCCAAAGAGTGAATAAAACTATATACTATCTTTAATCTGTAGGACACAAATAATAGAAAGAATGAGTAGACTCCGCCTTCCACACCATGCAGGTCTCCCACGTACCTGAGGCCGTAGCAAGGCAGGGCGAAGAGCCGGAAGAGCGCCAGGCAGACGCGCAGCGGCAGCAGCGTGAGCACGTACAGGAAGGCGTCCAGGCACAGGAAGATGCCAAACACCATGAGCTGCGTGCGGGAGGCGAGAGGAACAAGGGAAATAGTCTCAAAAATTAAGTACAAAATTTCGAGCAGAAAAATTCTGAATTTTCCAGGAAATTCTAACTTGTCACTGGAAATTTTTAAAAAAATGGCAGTTCTATCTTCCTTTTTCAACTATGCTTCAATGAAAATTCTTTTTCAAAGTGCAAGTCTGCACTTCTTTCAGTCTCTGGTTTACTGCCCATAGTCAATTACTCCAAACACAAGCTGCTCTTGGCCACAGCTGTGCCACAGCTGATGGGGCTTATCTGGGGACATCCTCAAACTTTAAACTTGTTTCATAAAAACCTTTCAGCTAAAACCTGTTACCTCTAGCTCTCCCGCTTAGCACTTTGCTGTTTCCTGTTTACCAGCACATTTCATTAATGGGAAGGTTAGGAATCCACACACTTTGCAAACTAAAACCATATGAACTGATGGTTCACTTCAACACAACCGCAGGTCCACGGGAACCACCTTTCCCTGTCTTCCCCTCTCAGCGTTCTTGCCATGCCCTTTCTTTCCTGTAACACTGCACGTTCTTATCTGTTAAACTCAGGACTTATTTCACAGGAAGGTGGAGTGTTTTGATGCCTTGGGGAAGCAGCCACATCCAGGCCACCAAACACTATCAGAGGAGAGGCGTGTGTCTAACACACATGTCCACATCACTACACTGTAAGGCTGCAGGCAATAAACTGCCCTCTCTCCACAGACTAGCTAAAACCAGCGACAGGCTGCACTGTGTCCTCCATCAACTTCATAAGCTGTACTTACAGTCAAAGAAGCAGAGAATATGACTGCATTTGAATATAGTATCTTTAAAGACAACTCAAGTTAAAATGGGGTCATTAGGCGACCCTATCACAATAGGACCACAGTCGAAAGTCAAGAGAGGAAATTTGGACAGACCCAGAGGAAAGGTGATGTGCCAATATGAGAAGGTAGCACCCAGATGCCAAGGGGAGAGGCCTCCCAAGAAAGCCCTGCCAACTCCCTGGCTGGGCAGGACCTTCTGCTGTCTAAATTGCCCCAGCAAATACACTTGCACACCTTTAAATAAAAGCACGTGTTTTATTCATTAGGAATATAGTCCGTATACATGTCACAATTCTTACTCCAAATATACAAACCCTTATTGCCTTCTTGACTTTCAATAATTAAGATCCATCATAAATAAGAATATAATGTAAATTACTAGGTCATGTGTTGCAGACCACACCCTTGACAAACGTTACAGAGAGTCACAGGTTAGAGAGAGGAAAAGACAGGAGCCTTCCATTCATGGTTCACTCCTCAAGTGGCCACAGAAGTCAGGACTGTGGGAGCAAGAAACGAGGAGACAGGCGTTTCATCCGGGTCTCGCACACAGTGGCAGGGCCCACCACTTGTGCCGTCTCCTGCTGCTTTCCCAGGCCCTAGCAGGGAGGTGGATTGGAAAGGGAGCCGCAGAGATGCGAACCAGTGCTCACACAGGATGTTGGCAGCACAGGTGGTGGCTTTACATGTTATGCCACAACACTGGCCCCAGCGCATAACTTTTAGTCTCCCCTCTACTGCAGTCAGTCATCCTGTTTCTACTGTCAGTTGGTCGTGGTTTTGCACCTGTTTTCTTCTTTTATAAACAAAGGCATGTAGTTGAAGACTGCCCCAGTTCCACCCCAGTTAATGGTTTTTACTCATCACCGTAGGCACAGGGGCTTTCCCTGTGCTGGCCTGCTGGCTGAGTACCAAGCACAGGGACAGCCAGAACCTGGCAGTGGACTGCAAAAGGCTGCGGGATGCTGGGGGCGAGTGTCATGTGCCCTTTGCCAGGCGCTTACAGTAGGGATGAACCCCTCCTTACTCAGGCAGCCCCCAGGAAGTTGTTAACACTGGCAGAGACATGCTCAGCCCAGCAGGCCGCTAAGACAAACGGGACCCTGGGGTGCAGTTTCTGTCCTCTGGAGGGATTATTCACAGGTCACAGGACAGGCAGTGTTAGCAGGCAGCAGGGAGGGAGGCCCTTGCCCTGAATCTAAGAAGACACACAGGAGAGGAGGGGCTGGACAGAAGAGGGGCGGGGTGCAGGAGGGACACCTGCCAGGAGGACAAAGCTTGGGCTGGAGTTCAGAGCTGAAAAATAACTACGAAAACTACAACCTTCTGCTAGCATAAAAGATGCAATGTCATTTTTCTTTGACTTAGAGGGATCTATTACATTTCAGCATCTCTTACCTGAAACACTGGAACCAGAGGTGTTTTGGATTTCAGAATCTGAGTGTTGGGTTTATGATTTTCAGATTGGGGATGCTCAACCTGGACTCTTCATTACTATAAACAGTAACATGGGTTTAACTCGAACACATTTTAATATGGTTGCATAAACTTGGTGGGCAGGCACTAATCTTTCACACCAAGTACTGGCCCTGTACTGGGACTACCTGTAACTGTTAACATGGTGAGTCATGATATTAACAAGGAAAAAGCAAGTGGTTACTGTAATCTAAAGGAATTTCCAATGGGAAAAAGGGTATTACATCTGTGGAATACATAATATAAAAGAAAAGCTTCAAAGTCTTTCAGGGTTTAAGAAAGTAAAAGCATGATTCAACAACTGGACCTAATATTCTGATGTCACACCTCCTCATCAAGCACAAAATTTTTTGAAATTTCTTACATTTCAAACTCAGGATGTTTCCTAAAAGAATGAGCAGGCCATGATCTTGAATACCCCCACCTGTGGGGGCTGTAAAGGCTCCCCTGTGGTGCCCAGTGCCTGCTGGCCTGGCTTAGGCAGGGCGGGCACACTCTGCAGCCCCATTTAACTGCCGCGGGCCAGCCCTCCGGAGGCCGCGCTGCACAGACTTGCCCTGTGCCTGCACTCGGGTCTGATGCTCAGTTCTCACTACTGTATCCGGCTCACAGGCTCTGCGGGAATTACCATTCTGCCCTCACCCCCTGGGCAACCCCAGTGCCACAGAAGGAACTCCTGCCTGAGAATATGGGTCAAGCACAGTAACTGCCACTCCAGGCCCAAGGCCCCACCTTTTCCCTTTGAAGAAGTCTGAGCAAAACAAAAACAAAACAAAACAAGGCAAAGGGGTTAAGGCAGTTTTCCTTGTGTCAGCTGTTATTGCCAAATTGCCTAGTGTTATGAAAAACAGTTAAATAATAGGTATTTAATGAATCAGACTTACAAACAGCTTAAACATTTTACATATTTAAATTTGATGCTATTATATATTCAAATAATGCATGCTTCCCTGTCATCCAGCAATTTGGAGGATACCTGACTATCACTGCGTTTCTATTTGGGACAATTAACCACCTCTCCAGCACTCTTAAATGACCAGCAAAAGGTCCTCTGTGACCACCCAAGATGTGGCGTCACAACAGCAGTGCAGCGTAAAGGGCACGGTTTCCTCCCTGGGGCACACAGAAATCTCCAGCCTTCCTTTAACTGTCGTTCGCAATTTCAAAACAAATAACTAACAGTGTGGCTTAAAAGAAGGCAGCACAGTGACTCTGAAATTCACCTCCTTCAGTCCTGGGGCCACTCTGTCCCGCCAGCTGACGGGCATGCGCCTTGAGAACTGGGTCCCTGTCACACCCTCTTCCACACGCCCGTTCCTCCCTCATCTCCCAGCACTGCCCCTTTGGTCCTGGCTAACTGAGCAACCTTACAAGACAGTAGGCTTCTCCTCTCTTTCACTCTACCAAGAAGGCCTGAAATGAGTAAGTCATCTCTTTGACTTGACACAACAAAATGTAAAAAAACAAAATATGGCAAAGAACCCGGACACGGTAGAAATACAAGAACTCATGCTCTGGCTTCGGGGTTTCTACCTCTTTGCCATTCGGTGACAGACTTGCAGCAGCTCATCCTTTGATACGTTCCCTCCTTTCTCCTTTAGTACTCACGGTATAGCTCTGATAAGGCAGACAGTGACAGGTGCATAAAAGTTACATGCCCTGCTTTAAGAGGGTCAAACTGAGGCCGGTGCCACAGTGTAGTGGGCTAACCCTTTACCTGCAGCACTAGCATCCCATATGGGTGTCAGTTTGAGTCCTGGCTATTCCATTTCCAATCCAACTCCCTGCTGATATGCCTAGGAAAGCAGAAGAGGAAGGCTCATGTGTTTGGAACCCTGCACCCATGTAGCAGACCCAGAAGAAGCTCATGACTCCCAGCTTTGGGCCAGCCCAGCTCTGGCCATTGCAGAATGAATCAGCACATGGAAAAATTTCTCTGCAGTGCCCCCCCCCCCCAACTCTGCCTTTCAAAGGGAAAAAAAAAAGTTAAAGCTCCACAAAGGGGCCACTGACACAGGAAGAGATTTATGCTTTGGCCACCACAAATACACTTTACACTGCGATCCACCACACAGACTTGTAGATACCCTCAAAAACACAAAGAAAAACTCTGCTGAAGCACTTGCTTTCCATGACACAGGCTGAAGTCTTCCCCCATCGGCAGGAGGTGACTTCCAGTGTGAGAGTCAGGTTTCTGCACAGTGAGGACCAAACTGGCTCTAGGGAGGGAAGAATGCTCTGGACAGCTGTTTGATCAAAAATTAATTTAGAGCATTGAGTAACAAATTCCAGACATTCAATTTAAAAAATATTCTCTGAAAATTCATTCTTAGAGCAGAGATGTTATCAAAATGCACACGAAAACCACAATTAATCTCCTGTTTAGTTAACAATGCCATTTTCTCAATTCCTCTTTAGAATTAAAAATGATCAGTGACAACAATCCCCGGCCAGTCTGCTCACTGCCCCTTGGTCTCCGGAGGCCGATGAGAGCCTGAGAAGTCCTCCCCAGGGCCTTGGCACACAGCCGGCAGCGCACCTCGCTCTGGGTGAGCTCTTTAGCCTGGCCTTGGTCACCCCGCTCTGGCAGGCAGGCCACACTAAAGAGCTCACCCAGTTCCACTGCAGGAGCAGGGCTGCAGCCGGCCCGCAGGAGCCCCGGCACTACCTCCACTACCAACACCTGCTACTCAGCCTCCACCCTCACACGCACCGCTGGATCTGCGATTCTGTTCTTGTTTTTTTTTTCCCCCTCTAAGATTTACATTTATTTATTTTTTTTATCTGAAACACAGATTTATAGAGAGACAGAGAAGGAAGACAGAGAGAGAGAGAGCTCTTCCATCCCCTGGTTAACTCCCCAAACTTTTGCAATATCCAGATCAGGGCAGGTCCAAGTCAGGAGCCTGGAGCTTCTGCCAGGTCTCCCATGAGGGTGGCATGTTCTGCTGCTTTCCACATTGGCAGGGAGGTGGATCAGAAGTGGAACAGCCAGGACTTGAACTGGATCCCATATGGAATGCTGCCACCATAAGCGGGGGCTTAACCAGCTACGTTATGGCACCAGCCCCTACTAGATGTCTTAAAAAAGATTTAATATGGATTTATCCCAACTGAACTTTAGAGTTAAGAATATTACAAAATGGAAATGATTCTGTGACCTTGTACATCAATAAAATATTATATAATTGTGAAAAGCTACAGGTTGCTTTCATCATATTCATCTCATCATGTATCTATGACTATTGCTCTCATTCATTTGAAAAATACTACCTTAAAAGACATAAACAAACAGAAATGCCAGGCTCTCTCTGTGGGGGATGCAACCTTCTCTTATTAAATTTTTTATTTCCATTTTTGACATTTTTCCATTTCTGTCTTCCTTTAAATACCACTTGAAAATTTAAAAATAAATAGCATGACGACCAAAATGAAAGCAGCACTGAGACTGGGGCCAGTCTCTAACTGCAGGCCGTCTCCTCCATGCCACCACACAGCATGTGCTGGCAGGGACTCACTTGTTCACAGTGTGGAAACCAGAGAACCTTTTCCAGGCCCCAGTCTCTGGGTCTACTCTTGCAAGAGCAGAGACCAGATCTTGTTTGGCCATATGCTGGGGGAAGCAAGACCCATTGCAAAAAGCCCCTCCTATCCCGGGGAACCCAGTCCATAAGCTGGGCACATGCTGTTCCGGTGACTGAGAAGGCACGCGCTTGGTACCCACTGGTGAAGAGATCAGGTCCACAGACTGTGGGTTTGGGGAGCTGGGGTAGGGAGGAGCTAGAGTCAACAGATTTCCCACAGGAGACATCATGGGCATGAGTTTTTGTCGGGCACAGAGAAGAGGAAGATAAGCAGAGAGCCAGCACAGGTGCCCTGTGAGGCTGGGAGGCTGAACAGGAGCTTTCAGCTAACTGCAGAAGAGTCCAGATGGTTCGCCCAGTCCAGAAGTTCTCAACAAACCCACAGGAAGAGATCCACTGTCAGCCCAATTTGGAGGGGGATTCCACCATCTTCTAAGTCTACAGATAACTGGCCGAAAAGTGCTATTGTAGATTCAAGGTCATTCCAGGCAGAATCATTTTTATTCCCCTAAATTAAAAACAAAATAAAACCAAATATGCCCCCAGTGAGTCTACACATTCCAGGAAATGGCCAGGGTTTTTGACAACAGGCAAAGGTCTATCCCGAAGGTCACCCAACAAAACAACCATTTCTTAAGTCATATTTTACATCTGATACACTCAACACAAGGACTAGGCATAAAAGGTAAACACCCCAATCATCTGAAGATTTCATCAGCAGACACGCTCTGCTCGTGGAAGAGCCTGGAGCTCTTCTTGCTTCTCTCCTTTCTAACCTGTACTGAATATCACTATCTTCCATGAGCTCAGCCCCTGGAACATAAGCCCTCAGAACAAGCCCCAAAGCAGGTGCTATTACTTGGTGTTCTGCTGTGCAGCTCCTGCCAAGAGGCTGCGATGACAAGAGTGAGCATGCTCCAGGGGCTCCTGGCAGCTGACAGGCTGATAGCCACCCAGGAACCCCGCCTCAGCTGCTGTTGCAGTGAAGGTGGGCGGGATGGGGTCGGGGCATGCTTCAGGCTCAGCCATTTAGGGAGTGAACCAGTAGATAAAATAGAGAACGAGAGAGGAAATAAATGTGTGTGTGTGTGTGTGTGTGTGTGTGTGTGTGTAATGTGGCAGGTGCTGGATCCGTAAACCCCTGGGGTGGGAGGTCTGGAGGGGCAGGCTTGGATCTCCTGACCCAGGTCCCTGGGACTGCCTGCATGGCAGGTGGCGGGTTCCTGAGCCCCAGGGTTGGAGTTTCGGTGGGGCTCAGGTTCCCTGACCAGGGTCCATGAGCCTACCTGTGAGAACTGGTCCTCCTCAGTGTAAAGGATAGAGTGCTGGATGGCAGGCCATGCTGCACACAGAGGATACGGTAGCTCATCGGGGCCTGCAGAGGACATCTGGTACCATAGCAGAGAATGGAGAACAGAACATATGGACAACTACCCCAGCCAAATGATGACAGCAAATATCTAGGCGAATGGAGACTCTCAGGTGGACTGTGTCAGCCACTGAACACTGGAAGGGAGTCCTCATCCATAGATCAGCAAGATGGACGGCATTCCAGAACTATCGCATCCACCTGGGCAGAACCTTTGCAGCATGCACCACATTATGACCCTGGGTTGGCACTGGGTGACGATTCCCCATTCCTGGCTGGGAGGCTGGTATGGCTTCTCCTCTTATCTCTCCCCTCACCCCCAGAAGTGGGAAGAAGAAATAAGTTTTGAGACAATGATCATACCCACTTCTCCCTAACCCTGGATTCTTCCTGCTCTGATCAACTATGTAAACATTGTTTAAAACATAATTAAAAAAGAAAGTCACCAAAGTTATAAAAGCCTGATCTTTGCTGGATTGTCCCCAAAACTATCTGATGGGTTCCATATGCCTAATGAGTAGCAAACTACACCTTGTCAAGCAGGCCATGGATTCTGGGACCACTCCTCCAACACATTCAAACTCAGCTTCTGAAGGGGCTGTCAATTCAGTTGCTAACCTGACACCCAACAATGATAATGTAGAAGGTGCTGTTTCCACTTCCACAGGCAGGAGGCAGCAAACCTGGGAGAAAAGAAGCACCAGGACTTCCTGCTTCTCACTGAGGTCTCCCAGGGCACATCTGAGCAAGGGCGTGAACAACGCAGGGTGCAGCAAGCCCAGAGCCCAAAGCCAGTAACATGGGTCTGTTAGTTTCACAATGAAACTCAGGAAACTTAATGTACCACTCCTGCTATCAACAAAAAGTCTTAATATGAATATATGATATTTTAACTAAATGTGTTATTTTGAAAGTAGTGGTAAAGTCCTACTTGTGATACTGGCATTCCCTATGGCCGCTGGTTTGTATACCAGCTGCTCTCCTTTCGATCCAATTCCATATTCAAGGCCTGGAAAAAGCAACAGAGAATGGCCCAGTAACCCACATGGAGAGCCAGGTGAAGTCCCTGGCCCCTGGCTTGGTGTGGCTCAGCTGTGATGACTAGTCATCTGGAGAATAAACCAGCTGATGGGAGGTCTTTCAGTCTCAGTCTCTCTGTAACTCTGACTTTAAAATAAGCAAATCTTCAAAAAAGACGTGTAAAATTTAATTGAATACTAAGAAAATGAGTTACCGATTTAATACTAAGCAGTTGAATTCATTCAAAAAATGTATTTATTAAGCAATGAAAAAAAAGAATCACTATACAGCAAAGAATTACATAGTAGGAAAAAATCAGTTACATTTTAGTTCCATTTTTTATGTCAGGAAGGTAATGTGATCGATTGCATGTATTCAGGAAAAATAAGTCATTTTAATTTAAATAAATAAATAAAGCCTTGTAACAACCACAACGTACATGGAGCATCTATTTAACACAAGGAGTCACTGTCACAAAAGTTAGTAAACAAATTCTGGACAATTTAAATTTCTAGAAAGTCTACACATGTGGGTCTAGTGCTCTCTTTACTTCCAACCCAAGCTGACCACAGCCATGGGCACCTTCAGGAGCAGTGGAGAACCCAATGACTAATCTGTCCTCTTTGGTTTGCTATTGAATATACTCTTGACGCTGGCATTGTGGCTTAGCATCTCATATGGACACCTGTTTACATCCTGGCTATTCTACTTTTAATCCAGCTCCATGCTAACGGCCTGGGAAAAGCAGTGGAGAAGGCCCAAGTGTGGAAGACCCGGATGCAGCTCCTGGCTTCAGTCTGGAATAACCCTGGCCACTATGGCCATTTGGGGAATGAACTAGTAGAAGGAAGATCTCTTTCTACCTCTCCCTCTAACTCTCTCAAATAAATAAAATCTTTAAAATAGTAATAATAGCAATACAAAGAACCTACTCTTCCTGTCCTGGTCCCCCTTGCACACAAAAACCCAATGCAGCCAATAGAGAAATGGAAGTACTCGTGCGGGGACTTCCAGGAGGACTTCATAGTTTTTGGACAAGGTCCGGAAAGGTGGTACTCCCCAGACCCTGCCTTTGTACCATTCCTGAGGCAGCCCAGTCAGCGTGAGGGTGGATAAGGAGCCTGATATATGCTGATTTCACTAACTCACAGAACAATCAAGACCTCCTTCCTCTACATTTGGTAAAAATAAATAAATAAATAAAAACAACCAAACAACTGTCCTATTTGTTTAATCCACCATCAACTAGGTTTTCTGGAACACACAGCTAAAGGACTCCTAATATTCATCTCCTAGACTCTACTCTTTAACACGCCCTGGGCCTAGCCTTTCTCTCCACAAGGTCTGAGTACTTCTCTGTCCAAACTTAAGAGGCTCCAAATCTACCTAGCACATCACTGCACCCGGGCAAAGTAGTCAGAGCAATCTCCCCCTTTTCCCTCCCAGTCCCCTTCTGACCTTCTTCCTCAGCCCTGTCTTCTAAACAAACTTTCACCTTTTCTAAATTCACGTTGCCGGTAATGATTTAATGGTACTTTTCACTTTGTATCTTCCATTGAAATTACTTAGGTACCTGCCCTCTCCTTCCTGGCTAAGATCTGAGTGTTAAGTTCATCCCTGTTCTTCAGCGCTACAAAGGTGCCTGGAACAAAAGCTGCTCCAAAAATTGATGGAGCAAATGAACAGGGAATTAGTGGATTTTCCTTTTCATTAGTGTTTGCACATATGAAGAAACTTGGGAAAATGCTTAAGGGGCAGTCCTTCACTATTTGCAACATTTGGGGACAACTGTCTGACCTATGCTGCAGTGTTATCATGAGGTCTAAACCCTGCACAGAAGCCAGCTCCTGTTTCCAATCAAGGCGAGGTGGGTCTGGAAGTCCACAGGGAGCTCCCTTAAGGAGGCAGGAGGGAGAAATGCAACTTAAACAGACCATATATTTCGTGAGGTTGGTCAGGGGATTAACGTGAACACACTCAAAGTGCTCAGTTCAGAGCACAGCACCGAAACCTCACCGGACACCTGCTGTCCTTGCACAGGAACGGACACTGAGATGGGACACAGCCGGCCAAGACTAGGCGGGGCGTGCAGTGGGAACAGCCTGAGCAGAAATGTCCTCTCTAGGAAGGCCGTGGTCCCCGCCCTCAGCTCACTCTGTCCAAGCCCTAACTGCAGGCTCCACCAGTGCCCCAAGGCCGACTCCAGAAGGTCCAGCAGAAAATGACAGGGTGCGTTATCTTGACAGCTACGTCTGTCAGGAACGAGGGAAATGTTCCAATCCACTACAGTCTGGCTTAAAAATGGGGGAGGCAGGACCAAACGGCTTTCCCAAGAGGCTCTTTCTCAATGGGGTAAGCAGTCTCAGAAGGATGGGTGTCAGGAAGTCAAGTTCAGTGGCAAGCACAGGCTGTACACACGGAGCCAGAAGGCTTTCCAGTGGGTAGTGCCGCTGCTCCTTAGTTGTGCCCCAACATAAGCAGGAGACGGACAGACAGCACCCCACTCTGAAGTAGTCCCCTGGTTGTCCCACAGGTTCAGGCTGCATGCAAATTCCCCATGCTCCACAGAGGCAAACAGGAGTCCAGGAGCTCAGTGTGAGGGCTGCTGCCAGGCAGGCACAACCCCAATGCGCTTGCCTTGCCTCAACACTGGCCCACTGCCTGCACCCAACATTCTCACACCCATCAATGCAAAGACAAAGGGCAGCTCTGAGAGCAACTGAGAGGAGTTGATTTTATCCTATTTCCAACCAGAAAATCATCCCCAGTCTCAACAAATCCAGGTGTTGGAGCAGTGCCACTGCCCTTGGGGGGAAGAGCCGCGGGAGCACCTGTTCTTCCCATCCCACCCTCAGGTCCCTCAGGTTTCTTGCAGGGACACTCGGGCTCCTGAGACAGGCACCACTGCCTGTAGAACTGAGCACACGTGACCCTCCTCATCAGAGGCGTTCCACCACCGTTCAACTGTCCTGCGTCCCCACACGCTGGCTGCCCGTTCCTTCACAGAGCTCCCAAGGCTGCAGCAAGTCCCGCTCCATCAAAACCCACAGAGCAACAGCTCTGAAACCGACCTCAGCACCGGGCTCCTCCTGCTTCTAAACAGATGATCAGAACCCAAACAGCACAGCCAAGCCAAGTTGCCCAACTTGGCCCTTCACCACATCTGCTTACAGCACACCGGAAAAGCCAACTCTCCGACAAGCACAGTCAGCAGGTGTCACTGGCTCCCCGACTGCTGGGTCTGCAGAGGCGACTGTCACAGGAGGCAGGCCCGCCACCAGCTGGCACCGTGGCTGCCCACTGTGCTGATCTGCTACGAGCTGACTCCTGTGCTGACAGCTGAAGCAATCCTCTTCTTCTCTGAAAGACTGAGATTTATGTTTTCAAATATGTGGGCTTTCTGAGAAACTGAAACCTTAAAAAAGACTGAAATGAAATCACTGATCATACTGAAAGTTAAACAAGGCTAGGGAGAACTGCAAGAGTGTGAGAGAGATCACGTCCTAGGAAAAAGTTCTAGGGAAGTGGCTCACAGGGAAGCAAAACAGTTAGCTTCAGGTTTTTATGAAATCTGCACATACACCATCACCAACTCTTAAACTGAGCATCATTTCCTGCTGCGCCTACAGCTTTACTTACATTATTTCCAATATTTTAAAAATACAGCTCACAATGTGGGTTTTTTGTTTTGTTTTGTTTTGTTTTGTTTTTTACACAATCAACACTTTGGCATAACTTTCAAAATGATGTCTGGGAATAAAAAAAAATAGTACCTTTTCCAATTCTCTCGGTATTCGCATACAAGTGTATACTCTTTCTCTTCGTTCTGTGTACTTGGCCTCGTTATGTTCAAGGAAGTACCCTCTTGTGAGTTCAGCACTGAGGAACCTCAACAACGAAAGTTCTACAGAAAAAGAAAACAAGACAAAACAAAAAGAACAGTTTTTATTAAGGAACTCACATGCCACCCGGGGCTACAGGTAATACTCACATAGAGCAAAAAGAGGACAAAGCAAAGCAACCTACGGTCCTGGAGCTGGAACTTCCGTGCCCTGACGGCAGGCTACATTCTGTTGCTTTGAGTGGCACAGGCTAAGAATACGTGGGGACACAGAGTGGCGCTAAGAGGGCGCTGGGGCACGGAGGGGCACGACCACTGAGATAACAGTTGGAACAGTGGTTTCTGAGAGCTCAGTCAGTCCTGGGTCTTACAGGTGACACGGCACCCACACTGATGAATTTCACAGAGAAAAGGGGAGCTGCTTGATTGTGTCAGAGGTCCAAGCAGCAGGAGCCATGGCACCACCTGGGCATTGCG